CTCCTCTTCCTTTTTACGTATTCTCTTTATCTTCTCCTCTTCCTCATTATCTCTTTTGATTCCTTAACCTGCAATGCAGGCGTCTTGTTAGGGAGAGTTAACGTTAAGAAGCGCGCGATCGTTTTTTCAACCGGCCAAGTTTGATTTGGACTTCGATGATGGGGAAGTGAACGGGGAAAGGCGAAGAGACAGACAGAACAGACTGACTCTTTCATCTAACACTTTTTTAATTCAAAATCTCCATAATTTCAACCACAGGTTAACTTAAGAAGGATAATGAAGATAACAGCGATTGCCACACAAGGGAGACAAGATCATGCTCAGTGGGTTAAATCATACAGACTTTGTTATGGACAATCTCTGAGCGGCTTTTGTGAACCACTCAATCAGGTAATGTCACTGGGGCTGATTGTCGGATAAAGCTTGAGTACTTAGTTGTGAATATTAAAATGAAAATTACAATTAATGTAAAAAGCATCAGTGATTGACTAAACAAACAACAAGCAAGCTAAAATTGTCGGCCGTAACTGGACCGTTTTCTTTTTTCGAGTATGAACGTCTTAAAAAAGCTCTCCGAATTTCTGATGTTCAGGCCTTTTGCGCAATAGCTCCTCAGCTGGCACCTTCATGGGTACTTATGCGAATTAAGTAACTATTTGAGTAACACTAGCGATGTTTCATTGCCGTAAAAATGTGTCTGTTTGTTGTTGATCAATCAAAGGAATTTGTTGGAAATGTGGACAGTCAAACAGTGGTTACTCATCAGTTTACCACACCCCTTTACGCCCGCTTTGTGAGGCTTATTCCTGTATCATGGTATGCACACGCTTGCTTAAGGCTCGAGCTTTACGGCTGCAAGGAAGGTAAGTCAATTATATAGTTTTCCTTCTTTTAAAAGCTGCTTCATTACCATGGATCTAAAGCAATAGAACGGTACAACTACAAAAACATCATTCAGCACAATCGAAAAAGACAAAAGCTTCTGGAACTCAACCAGAAACGATCAGAACTCATCTCAATACCAAACGGGATAATTTGTTATTATCAACTGAGTTTGTAAGGTAAATAGTCACCACAAAACCATAAAATAGTTTAAAAGTTCACGTTCCGAGCGTTAGCCCCTCGTCAGAGCGATGAACGAAGAGCTAACGCTCGAAGCTTTTAAACTATTTACGGTGACCAATTTATGTTATCAACTCAGTTGATAATACCAAATTACCCAGCCATACTCTCCCACCGACACAGCATCACAGTTTCTTTAAAAACTAACCCCCCTTTAATACCAAACCTTTTTCTTTTGCCATTTAAAACCTTTTTGAGTTAAAACCTCCGCAGTTACATCATCATCATCTTTTGATCTTTAGAAATTACTGTTTGAAACAGTTTAGGATATTTGGAGTTACTTTCTTAACTGAGTCTAAATAAGATCTTGGGTATACAATTTTAATGTGTTGCATATGGCTATTTCATCTCGATAAATAGGTTTCACTCCACTGTCGGGTCCTGTGTGTATGGAAAGTCTTGGAATGGAAACCAGAAAAATCCCTGATTCCGACATCACGGCATCATCGGTTTGGAACTCCTATCACGAATCCCACAATGCAAGGTTTGTGGAGTGTCGATAAAATAGTACAGTATTGTGTAAAATGACTTGATCAATACTGTGTGAGATAGTGTTATGTTACGTGATCTAGTGTGGTGTTCAAGATATATAAAACATGAAATCATAAATAAGGACAGTATAGTTGTTTGCACTGTGAATTCCTGCTCAGGGTCTGAATCAGAAACTTCCCTCTCCTTTCTTTCTAACATTACCATTATTAAACAGTTAATTCACGAGTTGTGTTAAATATAAGATGGTACATAGCAAACGAAATCCTACGGGCCTCGTTGACTTTAATCATCTCATTTTCAACAAGCGCGAGTGAAATAATCGTTTTATTAAGAACACCCCAAAATATAGCTAAATATTTCCAACTTCATTTTGTAAAAACAACTGGAATGTTGCAATGTAAAGGAAAACCTCCAGTTTAACTCGTCTTCATGCGCGCGCATGGTATAATATACACTTGATGTTTGGTCCTTCGGAAAACTAGTCCCGAGGGACCATACCTTGAGAGCTTGGTTATTTATTTAGACTTTCCGTTAAACAATCATATGGCAAAAACATACAAACAAAGACGGCACAAATTCTTTATTTACAGTAGTCAATCCTGCTGAATGAATAAGTCTAAAGTAAATTACAAATGTTTGGAAGTACATGAAAAAGCAAATATGTTTTTGTAATCTCAATAAGGAATACAAAATAATTTGGAAATTGTAAAAATTGATGGTAACATTTGCTCCAATAAATGCTTTTTTATTCGGCGCGCGGGCAACAACTGTGCAATTGTATCCTGGATGGGACACATTTGAATTTGATCAGGGACACGTGACTAAGAATCAACTAATCGCAGTTTTGTTGAGTGAAAATGTCAAGGTATATAGCAATGGTTCATATATCATGATGGCTGTTGAAAACTCTTGAATTGCATTATCCAATGATCTAATTTTTAAAACTTATATTGAGATCAATAAAGTTAACGAAGATCTCACGAGGGTATGTTTCGCAAATAACTCTCACGTGGAGAACCCATGCGTTGATCATTTGTCTCTCACAGTATGTAACACGCGAGGATGTCACACACGTAGCGTGCGAGGCACACGTATCACAAGACAGCTCTCGCTGAGAAAGGCATCTTCATGAAGCGAGCATAAGTTCATCCTGAGAGTTTCTCGAGTGCAAAAAAATTAAACGGTGTTAGGTTTCCCCTACAGCGCTCAATAGGGTAGAATCTTTTTATCTGAACTCATTTTGTACCAAAAGGAAACTTGAAAATTTGCTGTCGGGATTTGTGTCGTAAAGATTGGAGTTTTTGCATTATTGTTTTGCAAAGGGCAGCCAGGAAATGTACAAGCTCTAACAATCATTAACAGAACCATTGTTCTGGAGCCTTGATATATCTGCTTCCTTGAAGAAATCGCCGCCCTGAGTTGCCGAATGCCCTTGCCGAGAGGGCGGATACCTTAAGTTTGAATATAAATTTAGGTGAATTAGGCATCGTGTAAGGCTTGCAGTCTTTTGGATTGATACTCTGTTTCTCTTACAGACTACACAAGCACGTTGCTCCAAACTCCGCAGGTGGGTGGGCTGCACAAATAAACGATAAAAATCAGTGGTTACAAGTGAAATTCGGTCAGCGGGTAGAAATCAGAGGTGTAGCCACCCAAGGAAGACACAACGTCTACCAGTGGATGACGTCATACTCCTTGCGCTACAGCTCTGACGGCATGGTGTTCCACCACTATCAGACGAATACAAAACAAACGGTCAGTTTATTTCAGTTTTTCCAGTTTTTTTCAGCGCTCTCGTAAAATCAGTTTTCTCTGGTTTGTATCTTTTTGTTTGTATCTTTTTGTTAGTGTATCCGTATTTTCAAAACTCATGCAGTTCGAATTTTATTTGCTCAGATGTAATTATAACCATGCCGACATTCAACTCTACCTCGGAGGGTTTCCGTCATGATTCGGTATAATGAAATGACAAACGTTCGGGCGTGCGATGACGAATAATTATGTGAAATTATTTCTTTGTACTTCATAATTTGGCCTTAGCCACCACCTTAAAATTTAAACGCTATAAATTCAATTTTTCAAGACTGTTGGCCAATAAAAAAAAAGATTTCCTTGAGAAATCGAATCTCCGGCCTTGGGAATTCAAAATGGGCGGATCTGACCACTTTCCCTGGTGGGAGACTCTAATATTTCATTGTTCGACGCTGATGGCTATCTAGAGCTCTAGCTTTGCCATCTTTCTCATTTCTTAGCGATCAGTTTGTTTCTTCGTCTCATTTCCAAATAGGTATTCAATGGTAACACGGACATTGGTACTGTGGTAAGCCACCTTTTGAACCCACCAATCACTGCCCGCTATATTCGTGTTCATCCTGTCACGTGGCATGATCACATTTCTTTTAGGGTGGACTTTTACGGGTGCTTTCCAGGTAAAGGCATACGTCAAAATCTTTTTTCGATGTAATTCTACCACCATTCTATCACAAATTCTACAATCTGATTGGCTAATTTACTCGCTATCTATTCCACGTCAGTGAGTGAAGTGATTAGCCTGACAGAGCACGACTGTAAACAAAACAAAATAAAAACACGCGCTAGAACGACTAGATTATCAGCCCTCATCGACAATCATGCGATGTTAACATCGAGCTCACAATCTTATTGTTAACTAGGTTACGGTTAGATGTCTGAGTCAACTGGAGTCCGAGATGGGTGCTTTTTTCATTCGCTTCTGGAAATGAAGGCTAAGAAATAACCACTGAAGCGTTCTTGTAATATAATTGGCGCAAACCTTTTTTGCACTAACCAGTTGTATTCTGACTACGACGCCAGATGAACAAAGATGAGTCATGCTTTTAGAAATTTGACACGGGAAAGAAATAAAAGAATACTGAAAAACTTGGAATTACACTGCTGATGATTCAATCTTTTACATTAAGAGTGTAATCTGTTTTTTTTTAGACCCTCCAGTTCCAGTTGCAGTGTACCCTCTAAACGAAGAATTTGGCACACGAGACCTGAGTCCTAATCAAAATGAACCGGGTACTCCCCACAATTTCCAGCTCACCCCAGGTCCCTTTGGGCGTCCAAATGGTTCTTACTGGTTGTCTGGTACTTCCTCTAGCTATATTGAATTCCCCAACGACGGAGGATTGGACACGAGATATTCCTTCACATCTTTAGTGTGGGTATTCCCAGAAAACGTCGACGGTCCTATCGTCAATTACGGAACCGATAACTTTGGTGTTCATCTTTGGATATTAGATAATAAGATTTTTGCCAGATCGGTGACGAGACTGGGAGGTTTAGGACCAGTACAAACTAAATCTGTACAGCATCATGCGTGGAATTTTATTGGATTTTCGTATGACTATGACATAGGCGTTCAAAAACTTTGGATCGAGGGAAAAGTTTACGATGTGTTAACAGCTGATCAGTTTGAACAGAGAACTCAAGATAATATAAGAATGGGAAAGAGAGATGGCGATTTGAGATTTTTTAAGGGGAGAATATCGTGCTTACAATTATACAACAAAGCTTTGACGGAAAGAGAAGTACAAGCTGTAAGAGGGATGTGTTTCAGAAAAGGTTGGTCCCCTCACAACTGTCTCTTGCCAACCCAAACATGGTTTTTAATATTCAGTGTTGAAATATTGCATTTTTAGTGAGCGAAAGTGGAATAAATTATAGTAACGCAATATCTAGACCTTTCTAGATTTCAGGAATACCAAGAGGATTGTGAATGGCCAAGATTTAGCTGCAAATTCGAAAAATGATGTGATGCAAACAAAGTATCGGATTTCCATTAATCTTGAATAAAAGTTTCAGTCAACACGCGAGATACGTGTACCATCCTTGTTGAAAGACCAAAAACCTTGAGATTAATAGTTTGAGCAGAGCCACCTTATAAATGAGAGCGTGACTCACAGCTTTATCATATCTTGATAGTGAGAAATATTTTCCTTCCATTGGGAAAAGCCCTCACATGTAGTATAGCCAATTACTCTAGAAGATTTTGAGAACAATTGGAATATAAAAAGGCTTTCCAAGCGTGAAGGGCAAGCTATTTCAGCTAGTGTTACGTACAAATAGTGTGTGATGTTTATTTTTTTCATGTTTCTGCCTTGTGGTGAAAATTGTTTTGTAAATAAGTACAAAATACTAGCGAAATAAGTCACGAAACCATTCTTGTGCTCATTTTTTTTTAGTTCCATTAAAACCCGTTGCCTTTTTCCCATTGAATGGACAATACGAGACAACAGACATCAGCCACAGCCAAAACCCTCCAGGAGAGGCGTCGAATGTTGAATTAGCCCCAGGGCCTGACGGTTTTGATGGAGGCTCGTATCAGTTCAAGGGAATGGAAACAAGCTTCATCACGTTTACAAATACTGGAGGACTTGACACCAGGTATTCGTTCACGTTTCTGGTGTGGATCTACCAAGAACACACTAAAGGTCCGATATTCTATTATTTTGCACCTGGCTATTATGGCGTTAGATTAATGGTCGATGAACAGGGCTCTTTCTATGTCAACCTGCGCACATCACAATCAGCGGCCTTGAGGGTGCTCAAAGCATCTGTTCTTGAAGAAAAGAAGTGGCACTTCATTGGTTCATCTTACGATTACGTCAGTGGAGAATTGATCCTTTGGGTAAATGGAAGCGTCCATAAGAAAGTCATCATTGACTCGCCCGCTGAGCTGGCAACACAAGCAAATGTTACCATGGGTGGGCTGCCCGGGGAAGCTGGCCAATACAGCGGGAGATTTTCATGTTTTCAGCTTTACGACAGAGTACTGACCGAAAGTGAGATTGAAAATGCCAAACAATTGTGTTCCACCACAGGTAATCTTAGATCTGGCCATTGCTTAATCTACTAACATGCATTACAGGTGCGTTTTCTTCCTAAGTTGCATTGCAATGGCTCTTGCTCTAAAAGTTGATGATTCAGCCTCTACCTCGCTTTGCAAAAACTCTTCACCTGCAACGTTATCATACACTGGCACGAAATTGACGTTTAAAGCACTGAAATCCTCGGTCATTCCTTAAAATGGAAACAGTGTTTTTTTCTTGAAAATCCAACACCTTGATTCTCATTACAAATCTTATCACGGATCTTTTACATATCTTAACGTTACTTTTTTTCAACTCCTTTCAGGAAGGTCAGATCCCAACCAAAATGTTTACATTGGCGAGGCAGTGGATTTAAAATGCGACACTTTGGAAGGGAAAACTGCGCGCTGGAGCAAAGATAGCACTGTAATTCAAGAGAGAAGCGCCGGCTATGGCACGAGCCTGGTCATCAGCTCTGTTCAGCCACCTGATGAAGGAACATACACTTGTGACATCATCAACGACGCGGGGGATATCCAAGCGTCTTACAGTGTCACTCTGAGGGTGGAGGGCAAGTCTTTAACTATTTAATAGATTTTGATAATTGAAAAAATGTGAAAATGGAGTGATGAACTGTAAGTTTTTTTCGTAAATGGTCTAGAGAAGCCTTACCATTCTAGATAAACCAAATTAAAGACTTATGAATAAGAGCGGGACACCACTTACCAATAATATTGGCCAAATAATGACTTGTGGGGCTCTTGGGAAGTGTTCGCTACTTAACGCTAACATGTCGTTTTGATAAGCAGTTGAGGGAGAAAAAAATATATGAAAATTTTAAGCTCGGTGTTTTAGTTTTAATAGAAATGGTCATAAACCCATTAATCACTTAACTAGATGCATTTTTAATTGATCTTAGATCCAAGTTCCCTTTGCTCCGATTTGAAAGCTGAATCGAGCAGCGTATGGAAATCCTGGAGTGTTTTGCCTCCTTCAAATTATAGTCGCGAATATTATGAGGGGAAATGGTTCCGGGCAGAAAAAGGAGCAGCCATGACAAGTTCATGTATCTCGGAAGAAACCTGTGGCGTCCAAGCTCCTAGCTGGTTGAATGGTCCAAATCCGTCCAGAGAGATGGGGATTATTCATAGTCAAGTCTGTATGAACTTTCGAAACCACTGCTGTTATCATTCATTGCCCGTTCAGATAAAGAAATGTTCCGACTTCTTTGCTTACAAGTTGCAGGAAGTTCATCCAATGATACCTGGAAGATACTGTTTCACAACAAATAATTTAGGTTTGTAGATAAACTACATTTCTCTCAAAAGGAATAAAAACGATTAGTAGATACCACCAGGTGAAAAGTGCTTTTTGCACGCGCTGATTGGCTAGTTCAAAGGAATAGCAAGTCCTATTCGCCTCGCTTTTGGTGAAAAATCGTTAATTATCTCTATGAAATAAGTCCATGCTATTCCTAGTAAAATGTCTCATGAGACGCTTTGGGGTATTCCGCGAAAAACTCAGATGAATTCCCAGGAGCATTGTGACGTCTATTTTATTGGGCTCCGTGAAAAAGAGGACCAAATACCCCATAGAATTTCTTGAAAAATGTTAATTAAATTCCATGGAATTCTAAGGAGTACCCTGGAGACTGTTTCAATTACCTTATTTAAAGAAATCGAACGTTCTCTTGAATCATGTTGATGAAAAAAGCTTTAACCAAATAGATACTCTAATGTTCGAAAATTCATGGTACTCTATTAAAATTTTAAAATTTAATTTAAAAGGAATATGATGATGATCTGAGTGTTGTAAAACTATGAACAGTTGGGCAAAAGTTAAATGATAAACCTCGTTTGAATGTCGTGATGTTCGATGATGTTATCACTCAACAATCGTTCTATCCAGTACATCTACGTGATGTAAACGACTGGTTTACCCTTTTTGTATTCAAGAATGCTTAAGATAAATAATAACGATCAATTACTATTAGTCGGTGAGTTTTTCAGTTACCTGTTTAGTGCAGTAATTCGGACTTCAATATCTGGAGATACTCCAAATTGCACAGGGTGTCACAAAGTCGGCTAAGAAAATGATTTTCATTTTTGTTCCCATTATTCCCCTTATGTTTCAGACTTTGTCGACCGAATCAACAATGTCATGTTTACTTCTTCTGGGGCTGACCGTTTGTTGAATGGTCACAAGATCGCCATTGTGGGGTCAGTTGGCAACTCTTTACAGTGCATGCAGGACTGCACAAACGCCGCTGACCGCCATTGTAAGTCTTTCAACTATAGGAAGCTAACAAGAGAATGCCAGCTGAACAACGGAACAGCACCGCAGGAAAGATCTGGCATGGAGATGAAAGTTGGATACAACCAGTACGATATCGCTAAAACCGAAATGATAATATTTCCATAAATATGGATTTAAACTACCTCAGCCTGTGCAAGGTTAAGCTTAAAGAACTTTTACGGATACCCGATCAAGCCTTAAGGCAGATGTGAACGCAAAACCTCTTTTTAATACCAGGAAAAACTCTTAGATCTTGTTGGACTCCTTAGCACTCTTAATAAAACTGCTCATAGCTGAGTTACGTACCCTCTGGTTATTTCGATACTTTTACCTGTAGTAAAAGGGCGTCTGTGTCGCGAGAGAAGTTGGATCACTGGATAAGAGAGCACTTGAAGAGTGGAGACGGATTCTGGTGTCAATTAAACACTTAATTATTGGGAAAGAATTCAACTTGGGACGAACATCTGACAAAAAAGCACAGATTGAACCTGCGCAAGCAGCTTTTAAGTTTATACTGAAAGACGAGAGGAAAGTTGGGTTAACAATATGAAAAATTGTGATACCTCTCTCTTAACCAAGAAAAATTTTTTTCCATCCCGGAAATTTTCATGATGTTCTATAAGACATATTCTAGTTATAGAAAGTCTATCACCCCTTTAAACTTATATTTCCGGTTTTGAATAAAAGATCTTTAAAAAGAGTTTGTGCCATTTCTGCTGCCTCTTTTTTTATGGGAGGGGGGGGGGGGGGGGGGTTGGAAGACGTTTATGACCAAAGTAGAACCGAGTGGCGACTGGTAGAGAGAGAAAATCCTTAGACGCTGTTTCAAAGCCGTCGTGTAATATAGACTGTTTGATCAGCGGTAAGAATCAGAAGGACACTTTTAAGAATACAATTTGTGTCAGTTCATAGCAATCTTAAATCCTCGGTACATAATTTATGAAGCCTCTTCGGGAGCTATTAAACAAGCTCGTTTCCTTGAGCTCCATGACGTACATTAGTAAAAATATTTTTGGGTAAAAAATAACAATTCTCGCCGCCGAAGGCTGCAATTAGCTGAGTTCAATTAATAATTAATACACTTTCTTGAAGTAAAGTGGAACAGACGTTTTGTACTAAATGATGCGGCTGTTGGATCCGTGAATCTTTTTGAGAGAATGAAACAAAGTTCCTTGATATGTGTCATTACCTTTTTCTTTCTAAGGGTTTGTAATACCGTACCGTTTTTACAATTTCGGCATCTAGTTTGGTAACGTAGTTTTCACAGCTCTTTGAAATTTACTGAATATTTTTTTTGTGGTAATCTTTAAAATTTTTAGGAATATTCCGCTGTTTGGGGTTCACAAGGTGAGTTTAGGATAATTTGACATAATTGTTTATTATAACTTTTATCCATAAGCCATGAACGAGATATCACTCGAGGAAATACGAAGTTCAATAGTTGAGAATTTTAAAGGCAAAGGTAGCTTCGACCAAATTATGAAAGCAGCAGGAGGCCACACTTCTGTATCAAGGGAAAACAGAACTAATGCTTATCAGTGAGAAGTATATTTATTATGTAAGGGAAACATTATTGTTAAATATCCCGTTTACTGACGCTCTACTTGTTTCTGAAAATTGAGTTTGCTTTGGTGTTATTTTGTTCAAGTGTTATAATTTATGACAGCAATAACAGAAGAACACCTGTTGGGCATTACCAGCAACCATGATGGATTTATGGTTTATATTATGAGGTACTCAGTGAGGTATCTACTCACAGTAAGGAAAACGGAAAATATCTCAATGAGTATTTATTATGGAACATTTGACAAACTAACAAACTTTTTCAACAGCGCGGCTATGTTAGGTCTCAGTCATAGCAAGTCAGGTAGTCGGTTTTACATGGACTTTGAGTTTTTAGTTCTGAGGCCTTATTCTCGTCTTGCACCTTCGAATTTGTCAATAACGTTACGTCAAACCTTTTAATTGTGTCAAAAAACAAAATAAATTTTTAATCAAACTTGTCAATGCTTTTGGTATGTGAAAATGGCTTTCTCATTTTTCCGATTCCGAATCGAACTTTTCTATGAAACTCTAAGACTTGAGGATAGGATCGCAACAAACTTTGAATTTATCCTAAAAACGATAGAGTAGTACCAAGAGAGAATAATAATGTGAATTGCAGTTCTGAAAAATTTCGTCAGTGTATGTATTCTTTTTACTCACAGTGGCTCGTTAATACCATACTGTTTATGTCTATCGCTTATTATTCGTAATCAATTGTTCAGAGCTGGTTGGAGTTTTCTTGTTGTATCATCCTGTAACTTGTTTGCAATCCTTGATTCAGATCTTATCCATTCTAAAACATCATCGATGCTGTTAAACTAATTCTTCCAACTTACCTATTTTTATCCCGCTAAACTGTCATATTTCGGGGTTCTCGCATGAAGGAAGTTATTCAACGCATCATTATCCAATTATCATGACGTGGTCCTTCTGGGCAGCTCATTATGATTGGATTATTTTTAAGGTGCGCCTTTGTGGTACTGGTAACTAGATCCGGGACCCGGGGGATTATGTTGATGTGAATGAGTGACTTTGTGTTCATTACTGTGTGTAACAAATACAACAAATCCTACAGCCTTGGTGTATTTTCAGGGCAATGCAACTCACCCCTGGGGCTTGAAGACAAATCCATTCCCGACACTGACTTAACAGCATCTTCAGTATATGGTATTTACTATGGGCCTGAGCGCGCCCGGCTCAACACTGTGCGGAGTGGATCTTACAAAGGAGCATGGTCCCCCCGTTACGCATATCGAGGAGAATGGATACAGGTCCATAAACTCGAAATCTATTGCAGCTTTTCAGTTACATTACATCATATCAAATTGTTTAAAGCTCTTTTAAAAAACCCTTGGGAAGGCAATTCTTATGGATATTAAGACCCTAGTTTCAGCAAATTCTGAGTTACATTTACATTGCAACTAACCATTTATACCTTGAATTGCACTTGAGATCTACAAAATTAGATATAGCATCTATAAGAGATCAGCTACATCTGTTATTGCAATGTTGACAACGGAAAAACAGATAAGAATTAGCCTTTTAACCGAAGGCGAGTAGAAACTTTTTTATTCACTCCTCTGTAAATTTTTTGTGTTCGTCTACATTTGTGTCGAGCTCGAGAAGACCTCTAATTAGAAGCCTTTTTGAAAATTGTTTTGTCCTGTCTCTGCATGGAGAAGGCTTTCTCGAGGCTTCCTGCGATCTAGGAAAAAGTTTACTCTCATCAATTCTACCACTGATAACTTTTGATGATCCTTGGTTAAACTGGGAACAACCTTTTTATAAAGGTTGCTCAATAAGTCGTAACGATGTTCCATTCTCCCACTTGAAGTGTCATTTTTCTACGTGCATAAGGTGTCTTAACTTTAACCCTCAAATAGTACTCAAGATAGGCAATTCTCATTACAATATCACGCAATAACACCAACAGGTAAACTTGAGAACAATCACCAAGATCACCTCAATTGCAACACAAGGAAGGCAGGACTGGCCTTATCTTCAATGGGTTACTTCATACAGGATATGTTATAGTGAAAAACTGAACGGGTTTTGCGAACCTCTAAATCAGGTAGTATGATTGAAGGGCTATAAAAACTTCTTCTCCAACGCGACCCCAGGATCTTTCTTTTATCAAGCCGCACGGCTAAGTTTAAAGCAGGGTAATTTAGTATTACCGACTGGGTCGATGAGGTAAATTGACCACCGTGAAGAGTTCCAAAGCTGACGTTTCGAGCGTTAGTCCTTTCGTCATCGCTCTGATCAAGGGCTAATACTCGAAACATTAACTTTGAAACTCTTCACGGTGGCCAATTTACGTTATCCACTGTGTTGATAATACTTAATTACCCTGTTATGCTCTCCCGCCGACGCAGCGCTAGCATCACAGTTTCTTTAGAAACTTACCCTTTTTATTTATGAGTTTAAAGCAGATATTATGCCTTTCCTTCATCTTGTTCTGCTCAAGGTTATAGGCTCATAGCGTGCTCGCGTAGCTAACGTTGTGAATCTTTTGCAAGCAGCACTAATAATTAACAATACGGTAATAATTATAAGGACTTATGAGGCAACTTCCGGCTCTATTCTGAGTGTTCAATGTGTTTTCAGAAGCCTTTATTTCGCAGTTTTATCTAAGTTGTGGTATCAATGCATCATGTGTTTGTCAACAAGAAAGCTGTTTACAAGTTGTAGTATCAATGCATCGTGTTTGTCAACAAGAAAGCTGTTTACAAGTTGTGGTATCAGTGCATCATGTGTTTGTTAACAAGAAAGCTGTTTACAAGTTGTGGTGTCAATGCATCATGTGTTTGTCAACAAGAAAGCAGTTTAAAAGTTGTGGTGTCAATGCATGTTACTGTTATTTTAATTTTATTTGAAATTATTTTAATTTTAGGACTTTGCTGGAAACAACGATAAACACTCTTTGGTTACGCATCAGTTTATTAAGCCTCTCTACGCTCGTTTGGTGAGGATCATCGCTTTAGCGTGGTACAGCTTCCCCTCTATGAGACTCGAGCTTTATGGCTGTAGGGAAGGTGATTTAAAGGTTTATTATTTCCTAGCTATTTTGGATGGAAGTATTGCTCCTTATACTTGAACGAGATGTTAATTCATTAAAAGGTTACTCCACCTTTTTCAAAATTTTCCGGTTTTCATTTAACATCCTGCCCGAAAAGAGGCACTGTGAAGTAGTGTCTTGCCCTAGGACAAGCATTGACACTGCTGGGGCTCAAGCCCAGACGTCGACCTCTGAATTTAAAAATCCAGCGCGCCGACTACTGGTCTTAAGTTTCCCCCATCTCACTGAAGAACCGTACCTGTTTGTTTAAAACGCTTAACTTAAAAAAAAATATAAAAAACATGAAGCTGACAGGCTTAAAAACCTCAAAACAAACTCTCAAGTGGTTGAAGATGTGAGCAATTGGAAAGTGAGAGGGGATTTGGACCAAAGCTTGCGTATGAAGCAAAATTTAACAAGTTTGGCCTTTTGAAGACTTTTTTATGACGAAATTTAAGGAGACACTATCAAAGATCCTTAAGACATTACTTTTCTTATAAGATGCTATATACATTTTAGTCAATTGCAAGTTTGAGCTCTTCACCGTAAAAAAGCAAGTGCAAAAGAAGAAATTGTGTATTCTGAGACGAAGAATGATAAAGTTTAATCGCTCACTTGCATTGCATAAGAACCACATGCACAAACTTCTTCTGATGCTCCTTAGATGAACAGCAGATCGAAAGTAACAAGACATGAACTCTGGCGTCTGACATAAACGCCCACCCAAAAGAGAGTTGCCGGCTCCAAATACCGGTGTTTGCTGACACAGTTCTTACCATTATTTTCTTTTATTTATTTTGTTTCGTGAATAGGTTTTGTTCCCCTCCCAAGCCCTGTTTGCATGGAAAGTCTCGGAATGGAAACCAGAAAAATTCCAGACTCCGATATTACAGCTTCCACAGAGTTTAATGTCAATCACGCGGCATATTTAGCAAGGTTTGTAACGTTTTATTGTATCAAATGTATTGCGATTTCGCAATTTTCTCAATCCATTGATGTTAGTAGGACCAGCAGAGTTAGTTATAACTATTCCCTTACCTAAAAACCGGG